CTTTTGAGAGCTATGATTGTTGATCAGATTTTGATATCATACTTGCAATTATAGTTATTAGACTTATCCATGTGGGATACCGTTGGATAAGGTGTCTAAGCCCATAACGATAATTGGTGTGTACTTGATTTGATAGTAGCATGGTCCTTTTGGGTTGCCTTCACTCGTGCAACTTGACAGGATGACTAGTGGAGAGAGAGTAGGATTTATTATTTTGAAATAATAAATTGGTACTCAAAATGATTTTATTAATATATTATTTGGAAATCATATTATTATTTGGTATCTAATGAGAAATTAATTTGATATTAATTTGGGATTAAAGGAACTGATTAATAATGGAGAGGCTGTTTTGCAAATCATTGATAGTTGCAAAGTTGGGTTATTGGACTCCTTAATTAGGAGTGGATGAAATCCTATAGGGAGGCCCTATAGATTTCGTCCAAGGCCTCATAAGGAGGAGTCCATGGGTTGCTTAATCCTTAAGCAGAATTTAGGGTTTCCTATAGAGTTATGGGTTTTGAGCATTCTAACACTTCTATGGTATACATGAAACCTTATAAACCTTAAATCTATGTTTTCTTTATTATAAATGCAAATATTCAATATTCCAAGGTTTCATCCTGACTACCATAATATGAAGTATATACAATACAAGAATCTAGTAGAATGACATACCTTTTAATGGAGCTTGAAGTCTTGAACCTTTAAGAGCTTAGTGCCCCAAGTGTTGCACCTCAAATGGTTCACACAACACTAAAAACCTTTGGAATAACTTTAGAAGAAGGTTACTTAGGTTCACTCTTATGAAATCGACCTTGCCCTCTTTTTCTATGCAATAGTGCCATTTCATGAACCATATACCTCTCTATATAGTGTGGAGGATTAGGGTTACATTCATGTAAACCCTAATACCCATGACCTTTCATTTCCATAGGATCCATCGGTTAAAGCTCCATGGACTATCCAAGGAATTTCCATACAAACCTAGCCCATTCTAAATAAGCACTGACCTACTATATATAAGAGTCCATATTTAATTACTTCCTTTTGATCACTAAATTAATAATTGATCAATACTAATTAATAATATGATTTCAGATTAATATATTAGAACTTATAATATACTAATATAAATCGTAAGTATCCTTTTTCTCATTTTGTCTATCCAATTGTTCCGATGCCATGCAACCTAAATGGACCATGCTACTCTCGGTTCGAGTGCATACCAATGATGGTTATGGGCTTAGACATCTAATCCAACATAGAAACCCTAGCAGCCCACAACTATATAAAGAGCCTCACCACCTTGGATTTTCGGCGAATGTATTCTTAATTGAAACCCTATTCGATTTTCCACCTCTCTCATCTTGCATTGGGTGTATGCGACTCCATTAAAGGTGCAACACTTGGGGCACTAAGCTTTCAAGAGTCAAGAATCTTCAAGGATTGTCTTGTTATTAATATATAACAAGTGAGGTAATCTTCTAACCCTATTTTATACATGAATTTTGAAAATTGTATGCTAGATCTAGGGTTATTGCTTTGGCATCAAATTTGCATGTTCAATTAGTGAAAAACTTATATCCAAAGCAACTAGGATTGCATGATCACATAGGAATGTAGATATTCTCACAACCCATCAATTATAACATTTGAATGTTTATAATATTTTCTAAACAGATGTTAGTAAATGTCGCGAGGACGTAGAGGAGATGGTGGTGAAAGGCCAACACATGAGCATGCATACAGTTTACCATCGGGTTGCCGATCTTGTAAGTTACATGAAATTCTTAAGTAATAGATATAATTTTTAATTTCTAAATTTCTAAATTTCCAATTCTATGTGTGAATGTAGCAAAAGCGAAGAATGTGTGTGGTTTAGGAAGGAACTTAAATCTCTATGAAGTATTTGCCGATAATGGTAAAAAGCCTTTAGTCGTTAGGCTTGATACCTCCGGGGATACTTGTCAGTTCATAGAGGAAAATGAGCAATTGTTTGTTAAATTGACCTCAAATAAGGTGGTAGAAAAGATTCCATTGCATTATACAACCTGGCATCGTGTTCATCTCCGGTGCAAAGATTTTATACATCCCGATAGGTTTCAGAATACAAATTTATGGGAATACGTTCAAGAGAGTATCAATGCTGACATATCAAGAGCTTATAGAGAACGCAAGCATGAAGTGAAAAAACATTTTTAACACCGTCGATGAATATAATAACGTGGAAGGTGCAAGAACACGTCCACCGAAGAATTGGTCCGCTGATGCTTGGAATAAGCAACTTGATTTGTTGATCTTGACCCCGAAATATAAATGCATTTTGGAAAAAAAAAATAAAGGTACTTTAATCAACAATAAAAATTAAAACAATTCATCATCTCTTTTATATTCCATCATATTATAGCATTGTAGTTTTCGAAATCTATTAAAACATATCAATTCACTTTCATATTTAATCATATTAGAGCATTGAATTTTTAAAAATATATCTAAACATAGCAACATACTTTTATTGATTTTAATGCATTCAATTTTTTAATGTATAATGCTATCATTGGGTATATTTTTTCAAGAACAATGTCTTACTAAGAAAAAAAATTGAAAGTTGAATACTTTAAATTTAAAGGTACTCGGGCGAAATTTCTGTATACAAGTGCACATGGTTGTAGGTCATATCCTCAAAGACGTTGATTAGAGGTAATAAAATATATTTGTATTATATAATTTTTTTATGAACACTTATATAAATATATTTATTGTTTTTGGTTTATTATAGATACAATAAGGGAAGCAGTCACATCATATTTAGGGTTAGAGACAAATGCATTTCAATGAAAGATTTGGTTGGTGTTCGATTTAAGCATAACAAGATTAAGTAAGTGATAAACAAAATTAATACGTTGTTTAAATATGTTATTATTATTAATTATAGTTTTTTTTTGTTGTTGTTGTTATTATTATTATTATTATTATTATTATTATGTTTATGTTTAAATTTAATTGTTTGTTTTAATTATTTTATGTTTATTGTTTTCTTTATTTTTAGGAGAAAATTCAAGTAGTATATGAGAAAATGCTAATAGAGGCTGAGGAGGGGATAATTGTAGATGAGAAAGAATGTCCTGGTCGTGCCCTCAAGACGAGATGCCGACATACTCACGGAGTGGGAAGGATACTAACCACCGATATAGGTCTAATTCCAAATTTTCCCAATCTCAAACCCCATCTCAATCCCAATTTGATACATATAGCCAACAAATGCAACATTACTTGCAACAATATAATCAATAATTGGGAGCATGTATTTCTAACTTCCAACCACCACCAATTCCTAACTTTTTTTTTTCAATCCCAATTACACATAAGGAAATACTTCAAAAGGAAATACCTCTTGACAAATCGAAGAAGAAGAAGAAGAATATTATTATGATGTTGGTTGATTTTTTGTGTTATTTTGAACAATGTTACACTTAAATTTGGCATATTAGACTTCAATTTGAACAATGTGCTGGTAATATCTGTTGAATGTTTTATATGTTATGGATATATATGCTAATGTCTTGATTTGTTAACAAAAACAGGAATGGTAAATAAATCAGAATCTGTGTGTATGTGTGTGTTTATATATATATATATATATATATATATATATATATATATATATATATATATATATAGTGGCTATGCCAACGACATGTCGTCGGTATCGCTCTTTGTTTGAAAACGGTTGCAACCTTTTTTGCGACAACAAGTCGTCGCTATAGAGTCAACATTTCCCGACAACATGTCGTCGGCTTAAATTTGACCCATCCCGACGACATGTCGTCGGTACAAGTGATTAATAATTTTTTCGAAAATAATTCCTGTCAATATCTATGCTGACGAGATGTCATCGACATCACTTATTACGACAGAAATTTTCACTTATTGCGACAGAGGTATGTTGACGTCGCTTAGCGGACGACATGTCGTCGGTATAGGTTGTGCCGGCGACTTGTGTCTCCATAGGTTCAAAATTTGTCGTTGTCATAGGGATTGATTATTGTAGTGAACATCCAAAACCAGAGTTTTTCCGATTTTACCCTTGAGTTTAAGCGACTCTCTTTAGGTCTTACATTGAAAAGAAAATGTGTTCCCCTAAACAATTTTTGTGGTTCCGCCAGTAGTAGCAAAAAAAAGGTCATTACCCATTGAATATGATTACCCATTGGATGAGACGATTACACATAGAAAATGTGGCTCATCCGAGTCACGAGTTGACTTGATTCTGTACGAGTCAAGCCATAATTCGTGATTTTTGACTGGTACATGTAAAACTTAGTCATAACGAGTAGACTCTTTTAAAGATATAAAATAACTTGATTCGTTTTAAACAAAATAACATTGGTTTTAAAGATATAAAATAACATTGGTTACAAAAAAATTGTCAAATAAATTTCTAATTTTTTTAAACAGAAAAACAACGTTGTAAAAATGGAAGAATTTATACAATAAAGTTTAGATCAAATTTATAAAAAGAAAAATTATATAAAAGAAAAATTAGAAATAAAACTGAAAAAAGAAAAAAAGTTGGATTGGTGTGTATGGATCCGGATCCAGGGCAGGAAAATTGATAGTCGGGACCAGGTTTTAACCCACAAAAAACTTGAAAAAGAGAAGGGATCCAACCTTGGTTTTGAGCTGCCAATTATATTTCCTTAGACCATGCACAGCATGGCCTTTACTATTATTTAACAGTTAACTATTACTTTTTATTTTAACTTTATTTCAAAACAACTACTTCTATTCAATTTATCATTCACTTACATAGGAGTATATAGCTAGGGGGCTAACACCTCATCCCCTCTCTTAATGTAATGCCATGAACACCCGTAACTTAATTACGTGAACGATCATTCCAACACCTACCACAACTTTGTCTATAAAACCCAACATTCGTTCAAACCCAAACATTCATCTTAAAGATCAATTCATACAACTTAAAGGAAAAAACAATGGCAGACGAGAGAACAGGGGCCGAGATCGTGTGTGGGGATGAAGATTGTGGTCGATATTCCATTGATCTCCTTAAAGAGCTCGGTTTCCCAAAAGGCATTCTCCCACTCAAAGATTTGGTGGAGTGTGGGAGAGTTCGTCAGACTGGTTTTGTTTGGCTGAAGCAAAAGGCTCCATGTGAACATTTTTTTAAAGAGGCTAATGCAAGTGTCAGCTATGCAACTGAGATAACTGCGTATATTGAAAAATGTAAGATGACGAAAGTGACTGGGATTAAAAGCAAAAAAATGATGATGTGGGTGCCTGTTGTTGAGATGAGTATGGAAGATGAAAAAAGCTCCAAGATTTACTTCAAGACCTCGATTGGAGTAGGAAAGTCATATCCAGTTACTGCGTTTGTGACGGATGAAGAAAAGAAGTACCTTGAGCCCTCAAAGTGAATCAAGTTTTATTTCTCAAAATTATCTTATCATATTATCATAAAACATGTTCTTATATTTGAAAAACTGAGAATACTACTTACGTGAAATATATATACATATGAAATAACTTGTTATACGTAATTTGAAAAAGTCACAAACTCTATAAAATTTGGATCGTTGTTGGTTTTTATGAATGGGTTGCTTTTTTATTATTGTATTTGCTAAAATTATTAAAAAAAAAAATAAAAAAAAAAATAAAAAAAAAATAAAAAAAAAAACTGAAAGTCCGAAATATGTTAGATTGAAAAAAGAACGAAATTTTATTACACTGTCGAGGTGTTAAAAAATCTATGGAATGAGGTTAGAGGAGTCTCATAAAAATTGGCAGAGTTCTTTAACTAGTTCGAAGATGTGTGTGTGTTTTTGTTTTTTTTTTTTGGTGCAACTGCTTCAAGTTTATTTATGAGCATACATTGGTGTCAATTTATAATTGTTTCTACCAAGTACAAATCCACAGTTATGAACACATGTTTCTGTCAACAAACCAACAGCTAATGTGCATCAATGTATAGTTGAGATTTTTCTCAAAGAAATACATAAAATCCAGGATTGGATCGGCATTCCTACTAAGTCTCATCTTCTTGTTCAAACTCCCAGCAAGCTAGGAAAGTTGATGCACTTTTAGCCTTACTTTTTAGGGGATTCAAATCGTTATCTTAGTGTTTTGATATGGTAATAAAGAGTATGTAATGCTATTCTAAATTTTTTATTTAAATCTACAACATATCCCAAAGCCTTGGACCGATTTCATCCCTAGTTCAAATACCAAAGCTCTTCTTAATTTTTATGGGGTTGGCTAAAAAGAAATTCTATTTTACCATTTAGACAACCCTAATTAATATTTGAAATATTTTTATTTACTATTTGTTGTAGATTTAAATATTAAATTAAAAAATTTACACAAGCGATATGATTAATAAAGATTAATGAAACCAAAAGTTACAGGCGACGTCAAATTATTATAGGGATTGGCTTTTTGTATTTTTAGAATAGCATTACATACTTTTTATTACCCAATCGTAAATTATATTAGAGTTTGAGTTAAATCCTTAACAATCTTTATATTGAAATAAATGGAAAGTAGGGTTGAGCAAGGAAGAAGAAGAAGTGTAGGCCTGATACCAATCTAATATCAATAACAACAAAAAACGAATCTCTGTCTCTCAAATGGCCACCTTCGGGAATCCTTACATAATCACAAATATCTGCGCTTTAGTGCCTCTCATCCTCCATAATTATGATGCGTGGCGAGAGCTATTCTACAACCACTCTGTCAGGTATGGCGTTGCCGATTATTTGACTTCCGTTGTCAAAGTCCTTGCTTATCTCCCTCAAACTGATTGAGATCACATAGATAACCTCATCAAATCATGGATGTACGGAACTCTCTCGAAAACTCTCCTTAACACGATCCTGAAGTCCAAAACATCCACTCATATTCTTTGGATCAATCTCAAGAAACTGTTTCGTGATACTAAAGAAGCAAAAGCATTTCAACTAGATAACGAGATTCATAGCATCACTATAGGTGATTCCTCTGTCATCTCCTATTGCACTCTGGTTAAAACCATTGTTGATCTTCTTGAGAATCTCGACTCCCCGATACCGGAAAAAATCTCGTAATGTATACCATAAATGGGTCGTCGTCTAAATTTAACTCCATTGCTACCCTCGTTCGACACACTCAATGAACCCCTTCCTTCTCAGCCACTCGCTCCATGCTCCTGGTTGAAGAACAACAGATGGCTCTTGGTTTCTCTGTTCCTCAATCACATGCCGGCCACTCATCCTCACCAATGCTACTACTTTCCGACGCCTCTGGTGGTGGTTCCAGTCAAAACAGGGGTGGCTACAACTGTCGAGGAAACAATCGTGGGCGTGGTGGTGGAAATCGCCATCAAGGTCGGCACACCCCATCTGATCAATGACAATCACAGGTGTCTGCTCCTTGGGATCCACCAGCTGGGTTTACATGACCTCTTGTACGTGTTGGGTCTTCATCATCTCAATAGGCTGCTGCCAACTCCTTTAGAGGCCCAACGTGGCAATCATGCTCAACAACCTTGGAACTTTAAGCAGACCTAATCATCACAAGCTCATATGCAATCGTGCAATCCATGTCGTACTCCTACCGATACTCATGCTAACTTGGTTGCTGACCTGAGTGCTTTTTGGAATCTTGTTGGGGCTATTCCATATCCCACATTCACTCGTCCAGACATCTTCGCTGTCTAGCGGGGTTGGCTAATAAGACATCCTATTTTACCATTTAGACAACCTTAATTAATGTTTGAAATATTTTTATTGGTTGAAATTGCATTGTTTTCCGAAAAAGATGATTACAAGAAGTTGATTATAGGTTGACTTTTTATAAAAATGATTATAGGGTGTCTAAGGGGTATCTTATTAGCATCACCCCTGTCTAGCAGATCTGTATCTATACGCATGATCCCCGCGAGCCACATCTACATGCCTTTAAGCACATTTTGCGCTACCTACGTGACAATATTGATCATGGGATCCAGCTACATGCCACCTACCCGAGATCTCATACCCTACTCTGATGTTGACTTGATGCTGACTGGAAGGCTGTCCCGTTACTCAACGATCCACCTCCGGTTACTGTGTTCCTGGGAAGTAACATCACCTCTTGGGCTTCTAAATGTCAGGCTACCATCTCCCGATCCAATGTTGAAGTAGAATATAAAGGGGTGGCCAACACTATTGTTGAAACATCATGGTTACACAATTTGTTACACAAGCTTCATCACTCTCTTAAAAAGGCCACAATTACCTACCTTAATAATGTCAGCGTTGTCTAGATATCTACAAATCATGTACAACACGTCTCAGTAAGCCAACATATTCACCCAGGGCATTCCTTCATCTTTGTTTCTTGACTTTAGATCTAGTCTGAGCATTCATACAATACCTCTCGTTACGACTATAAAGGGGGGGGGGGGATGTTAGTGTATTAATATTTATGTATCTGTGTATTTGTATTGTTAGCCCACTATTGGCCCAATTCCCTTGTATTTCCCTGGTACACTCTTGTATTTATTCAAGTTTGTAATGAGAATGCCAACTTGGGAATTCATTCCTTCACATAAACTACCAAAACTTTAAAGGGAAATCTCCAATAAAGTCTTAAAATTTTAGCTCGGTTTATGTTTTAGTCCTAAACTAATTTTTGTTTACGAAAAAGTCCCAAAAACCGGCAAAAGTTTGCATTTTGACCCTTTTTGACTGGTTGGAACCGGTAACAAATTAATTTAGGACTATTTCATAAATAGACTCAAAATATTGGGACTTTTCTGCAAAAACAAAAAATATTAGGGTTTTTCTGCAAACAAAAATCTTATTATTATTATATTAAAAATATAAATAAGTATACTATTTTTTAAATTTGTTATTATTAATATTATTAATAATACATTTAAATACATCTAAATTAAAAAAAAAAAAATATTAAAGACATTTTATAAAGGTGAAGGTTGAGCGGATGGTAATGCTTTAAGCTTTGAAATCATGAATGTCTGATTATATATACTAACTTTGTATATGGTCATTTCACATTTGTTATTATTGTTTTTAATTCAGAATATTAACATTTAACAATTTAAAAGAAACTACTGATTTTTCAAATTGTTTACAAATAGTGAGTATGTGATTGCGTGTATGTTTTGTGTGTAAGTATTTTTGAATTACCAACATGTGTGTTGCTCTTTTTCATTACTTTATCCTTGTGGTTTTTTTGGAAACATAGCAGATATAGTGTGATAAAGCAAAATAAATCATATTACTTTCTATTAAATAATATTTTAATTAATATTTTCGAATTTTGATATGGGCCACCAATGTAAATATTTATTGTGGATCTGTTGGATTTGAAAAGAAATCATTCTACCTTAAGAAATTTATATACAAAGTGAGAAATCCTTTTATCTTAAACTATTTATACATAATTTTACAAATAGGCAACTTCTTTTAAATTGTTAAGTGTTAATATTTTGAATTGAAAACAATAATAAGAAATGTGAAATAATCATATACAAAGTGAGGACATACAAGACAGTGATTTCAATGCTTAAAGCATTACCATCACCACCACCTTCACCTTTAAATAATTTCTTTAATATATTTTTATTTAAGTGTATTTATATGTATTATTAAAAATATTAATAATAAGGAATTTAAAAATTAGTATACTTGTTAATAATAATAATAATAATAATAATAATAATAATAATAATAATAATAATAATAATAATAATAATAATAAAGTTTTTGTTTGCAGAAAAGTCATAATAATTTTTTTGCAGAAAAAATCACAATATTTTAGGCATTTTGTGAAATAGTCCCAATATTTTAGGTTAGTTTATGAAATAGTCCCAAATTAACTTGTTGCCGGTTCCAATCGGTCAAAAGGGGTCAAAATGCATACTTTTGCCGGTTTTTAGGACTTTTTCGTAAACAAAAATTAGTTTAGGACTAAAACGTAAACCGGACCAAAATTTTAGGACTTTATTGGAGATTTCCCAACTTTAAAAGCAACAAATTTGTGTATGAATGATAAATACCTTCTAATACTATTTAATAATGAATAAGTTCACTGTCACATTCTTATTAATTGTGTTCCTTTTCTTTGTTTCTTAAGCTGGAATCTCGTAGTTGTAGTTTAGCCTTGTGATGTACACACAGAAAATGTTGTTACATGTGAAATTCAGGATGTTGTTGATGGGTTTTACATGTAATAAAGGAGAATAATCCTTATATACATAATGGTACATGCAACGTATTAGATCTAGTCATAATACTATGGAAGTAACATTCTATTAAACAACACGAATCC